ACCAGAGGGGACCCAAACATATGTGTCGTCTACCCAGACCTGACGATAGGTATTTCTGTAAAGTAAATATGACAAAAAAAGCAATATTAAATGTCTGTATTTGAGCTGAAACGTACTAACACCATGTGGAAGAGCTAAGTCTTTGCACCCAGCAAACAGGGTATATTTCAAACTTTTAAAACTGCAATATACGGTGTTCAGAATGAACTAATTAATCTGCAACGTGAATTTGATACCTTGAAAACCGGAAGTATTATCTTTGGACAGTGTGCATAGCCTATAGTTTTTCATTTATTATAAGGGATGCAAGTTGAAATGCTTTTCAGCCAAGGCACCATAATAATACTGCTCATGTAAGTTTGACCCAAAGTTTAGAGGATAATATAAAATATGATTTTTTTTCTGTGCCAGACCGCGTCCAGGATGCTACTGTTACTTTATTTGACAATTTACGCACATGTTTAAGTCAACAATAAGCAAACAGCTGTTCCCAATGGTTATGCGTATCCGTCGGTATGACTTCAGGCTGTCCCAAAAATGTATACACATTTAAAATAATTGTTAACTTGGTATTTATTATACTTTTGTTATTTCAGAAACTTACATGTATTAAAAAGTATAATGTTTTTGTTTTTTTTCATTGCAGTTGCGCTATTGTGACAGTGGCTGAATTAAAAGAAGCCTCTGCACATGACTGCACCCGAACACGGTATATACAATTCCATTGCTTCGCGTTATCAGCAGTGTCGTGAGCAAAATTGACGTCAGTAAGAGAACATTAAGTGAATAAGACAATAAAATGGTGCTTTTGAATAGCTCTTAATTTATTTAAGGATACAACTTTGATTAACACCAATTTTAAAATTATGCAAAATGTCTACACATTTTAGGGACACCCTGTGTTATACATCTGGACGGTCGACAAGGCAGCATTTATTCCTGGAACGCCTGTTGGATCATGCTTATCAAAAACTTTCGCCTGATAAAACAAACGTATTTTCTTTTCTTTATTTTTTTAAGTTCTCATGGAGTGAAGTCCTGTATGGAACCAACGCTTACCCATTGTCCGCAGATCGCTTAAGCCTGGCCAAAGAAACTGTTATTTGAGTCCCATGTAAGCAGTGCAACGCTGCCTCAAGCACCATATCCACGGACTCCTCGTAATGGAAGGTAACGAAACCGCAACGACGGGAGTTCTGCTCCTTGGGCACAAAAACATCTTTGATCTGGCCAAAGTTGAAAAAATATGCATACAGGTCAAAATCCGCTACTGAGGCAGTTATTGATCTCACGAAGATTTTCCTTGGATTGACACGCCATTCAGCTTTAGTTTTAAAACTAATTGAAGGAAACAGTAATTACATTTTTTAAAGTAGGCTACTACTTAACTATCATAAGAATCTTATATTATGAGGCAAATAAGGTAATAACTGCAGTTCGGACTGCACAAAGCCACTG